ATTGTTTACATTAAATCGTGACCAAACCGTTTGAGACCCACTGAGATAAATTAGACTAAAGTTAGGACTCTCCTCCACCTTGTTGTTGAAAAAGCTCCTTATACCCGTTAGCGTAGCTCGCTAGCACCAGAAGAACAACAACGATCTCCAGTACCGGTCTGGTGCGCTCTCTCTCTCTCTCTCTCTCTCGCTCATGCACGCACACAAAATGGCTCGTTCCACACACACACAGCCGAGCTTGAATGAAACACAGAGACCCAGACGTACTTGTATTGTAGCATATTATTTTTGTCATTGCCATTTTTCCTCCTGGTCTCTTGCACCCCCCCTGTCAGGCCTCTGCGCCCCCCACTTTGAGAAACACTGATGTATGTCAATAATCAAGGCCTTGTTTTCCCTCGATAAATTCACAAGCTACAAAAGTTTTCAAGGCCTCATGGTAACAATGGCAGAGGAAGGAGTGTAAAAACTGAAAAGGAGAACCAAGGAAGGTCAGAACAGGTAAATATTTGTGTGTCAAATTAAAAATAATATACACTGAAGAACAAGTACTTAAGCTCAGCATTTGGCCACAGTTACACCTGGCTGTGCTGAATTTGATGAGGTTATGTATAATTTTAGATAATCTTCCGTATGTTCGGAAACACGAGTGGTTCAGTACCTGAAAGTGGATGCGTGGTGCAGGGGTCAGAGGGAGGTTTGTCCCAATCATCCGCACGATGCTGCGATACTGACCGCACAGATCACTGTCCCACACTGGAACCAGCTGCAAGAAAGAAGACACACAGACACAAAACAGTCTTGGTTCAAATGTGCCATCCTTCCAAGGATCCAAGACTCACTTGGTAGCTTTAAGAGAACAAACGAACAATAAATGTGACACCTGACACCAAAAACACAAATACTAAGACCATAGTAGTAACAGTAGCGTTTGTGCACTCACCATGTCTGGAGGCACGCCAAAATACTCCAGGACGGCATGCATCAAATCCAGAATATCCTCGACTAAAGACATTGTTAGGACTTTTTGAAGCACCAGCTGATGACTGTAAAGCTCCTCTTTCTGCTGACTAACTTGGTGAGAGGCCAACACAGAATGGATGCCACTGAGTCACATACTTCACACCTGAAACAAAACAAAACATACAGCACTTAGGCTATTGAACAAAACACAATAAAGTCAGTACTAGAATCCATCAAGAGATACAAAATGTTTTTGTAGTTAGGGTTAGGGTAAGACAAACTTCTAACATGAATAAAACAATAACAAAATCAAAACAACGTCCACTCAAATGCAAGAATTGAAGAGTGTGTTTTCATCTCAGTCTGATTCAAAATAACTTGTTTTTATCTTTAGTAGGTTTGGCTACTGTAGTGTTTCCTTAATGGGGGGAGACAGCCGCAACTGACTCAGAATGCTGCCGTTTGTCTTCATAGAGACCAATAAAGCAGGCTACATCAGTCCAGCTCTGAGAGGTACTCTGGCTTCCTGTGGTCAAATAAATGATGAGCCCTGTTGGATTCTGCATTGATCACATATATATTTCAACTTTGGCTTCTGTTTTCTATTGTATTGTTATGTTTTAAAATGATACTGTATGTGCAGCTGAATGTGTGAATCAAAACAGGTCTTAAATCGAAGTGAATGGTGTATTAAATTGTGAGATTAGTCTTTAAACCTCCCCATACACCTTTAACTAGGTTCACAAGGAAACAGATGCACACACAGGAAACAGACATTATGGTTTCATTTCCACAGCGATTAATTAAAATAAAAACCTATTTCTATGCTATCAAACTTTAATTCCAGTAGCCCCTGGAGTCCATCATCAATGCAGCTGTTTGTGTCTCTGTTGACATCACACACTGATGCTCCGGTTGACCATAGTGTCCCTCTGTACGTCTGACTCGGCTGTGAGTCCATGAATTTAATACAATTGGATCAGCACAGCGGGTTCAGAGTACATTTTTGTTTTAACCTCAACAGAGTAACCGTTCTGTGTGGGGGAAGTGCAGGTTCCCCTCACAGGCAGCGCAGTGTCCCACAGAAAAGAGGTAAAGAGGCTCGAAGTAAACTGCTATACCAGGAAACATGCGGTATAAACGAAACTATATATCTACTTACCGTGGAGGTTTCTTGAAAAAACATGCACTATGAGCTACATTTGTCCGACATCTTGATTTTAACCTAATATATCAACTGTAACTGCAGATAACCACTTCGAACGTGCATATTTATCCTAGCTCACGAGTCCAAGAAGCCAGCGAGTCTGTGTGAAGTCAAATAAAGCCGCAGTAGCAAAAGCTCCTCTGATTGGATAGAAATACAGAACTAGTATGAGGAGCCAATAGGAGCGGTCGATCGTGAAGCAGTACATCAAATTTGTATTTTTGTGCACGAGCGTCTTCCTCTACTTGGTAAGAAACAACACAACAATTACATTTTACCATCTATATTTCACTACCTAGACGCTCGTATTATCATGTGTTGAAGTATCGCATATTTGTGTGTTCAAATGGTGTACATAAACAAATGAAAAGGGGCTTTTGTTAAGTTCTGCAGCTTCTTCCTGTTTCAAAAGTTGCTAACTTTAGCTTATTTAGCTAGCCACAACGTTAGCTAGCACGTTGACCCCGACAGGACAAGCTTGAATCACTGTTTATAAAGTAGCTTCGTACCTCGAGAACCCAGCCTTAAATCATACGCTAGTAACGGTAACGTCATCCCACTTGACCGTAATATTTTCTCTGTTTTATAATTAGGCTAACGTAAGTCCAACGTTCGCCACACACAAAACAGTTTGTCCGTATCAGGCTAACGGTAAAACACATTTGACTTGATATCCTCAGTTTCAGATCTGGTAGTTAACCGAAGTTAACAGCAATGATGGATGCTCTGTCGGTGGTTACTCAGCTGCGGGACCTGGCATCTGAACCGCAGAACCGAGATGTGATCGTCCAGGATCAGGGCTGTCTCCCCGGGCTGGTTCTCTTCCTGGACCACCAGAACACAGACGTGCTTTTTGCAACTCTTCAGGTGGGTGAAAGATGCTGGACTGGTGCTGATCCGTGTTGTACTGTCCTCCTCTTTAAAGGACCAATGTTCTCTAAATGTGGTGCATTTCTTAATACTGTTCTGCCTTTGTCCTCAGACCTTGCGCTACTTGGCTGAGTTGTCCCCCAACATCCCCACCATGAAGAATGAACTGGGTATGATGGTGAGCTTGGAGAATCTAATTGTAAGGTGAGGGATTATTTTGTACTCCTGTGCACTGGTGTTTTTTGAGATAAGAGTATTTTCTTGGCATGTAATTGTACTTGACATTTTCAGTAAGAGTAGTTTGAGCTGTCAACTGTAATGATTCCTAATGCTGTTTTGTTGTACTATCTTAAGTTTAAGCATATAATAATATGTACTTAAACATTAGAAGTGAATGGGAAAGCCAAATAGTTATCACCCTAAATGTTGACTCAGAATTGTGGGAGGCAATTCAGAGGTTTGGAACTAGGTAACATAAAATATGATATTTATTTATTTAGGCAGGGCCTGTCTGTTGACATCACGTCATTGGCCCAGGAGGTGTATGATATTCTGACTGCGCCTGCTATACCCATCCCCCGCACGCCTGAGAGGGAGAGGAGAAAGAAACCCCAGTTCTTTATCAACTCCTCTCAAAAGAAGGCCAAGTCTGTCACTCTGCACATCAAGGGCCTGGACAGCACTGTGAGTAGACTGACTGACCCAAGCAAGACAGTGACTATTATTATCAAATTCTGCAACTTGTACTTTTTCTCTTATAGGACCAGCGAAGCTTGTGTGAGGAGGCTCTTCTGAAGGTCAGAGGGGTGATCAGCTTCACCTTCCAGATGGCTACCAAGAGATGCACCGTTCGCATCCGTTCAGACCTGCCCACTGAGGTAACGCACCAACACATTTACTATCAGGGGCTGCTGAGGAAGAAACCAGCCTGTTCAAAAATGAGTTGTATTCCTGTAGTTGTAGTCAACATTTGTATTATTGCATTATCAAAGCAACTTATGGTGCGGATGAACACTTTATATCTGATCTCCGCCTATTGTTTTTCAGAGTCTGGCATCAGCCATTGCAGCCACTCAGGTGCTGTCGGCCCAGCAGGTGGTGAAGAATGAGGCGGGAGAAGAGGTGAGTGGTGGTGCTAGATTCCTTATTTTGTTTAGCAACGTTTTTGAGTATCCATACAATACACCTCAATTGTTGGCTTGATTTAAAAATGTGTTCTTAACTTATCTCAATCATTTTTGTGTCTACAGGTTTTGGTCCCTCTCGACGCATCTGGAGTGGACGTCCAGAAGAACACAGCTATCCCAGACTACCTCCCAGAAGAAGAGGAGAGCCCCGAGAAGGAGGTGGACCGAGCGATTTCCCGCACCACAGCTAAAGAAGATTCCAGTGGAAGCTGGCTCAACGCCGCCGCCGGTTTCCTCACCAAAACGTTCTACTGGTGATACTGCTGCAGTTCAAATCCCAGAGTTGTGGAATACAGCTGCTGTGTGTATATAACTAGAGTGGACATCACTGGATGTTAGCACCCCTCGGGCTAACATCCTGGCTTTGTGTGGACTTCACCAACAGTCATCATTTGTTGTGAATAACTAGAAATGACCCAGATGTGCATACGCACTTCTGGTTAACTAGTTGAATAGAGGATCACACACTTGAAAGCATATTTTGTCTCTGGACCTGCGTATATGCTGATTTCTATCCACTATTTTCATTAAGTGTAAATATTTTCTTTATCTTTCTTTTTCTCCAAACTGTCTCTACATGTAAGAAAAACAACTTTAAAGACTTTTTCTACTTTGACTCTAATAAAAGTATTTTCTGTAAAAATGCTGTATGTTGCTAGTTATTTTTGCTTTATGCTAAAATGAATCTGCTACATGTTTTAAATGCACCATTTCTACTTTTATTATTCAGTATTTTGGACCAAAGCGGCAGAGAAAACATTGCAATACCAATGAATCGTCAATTCAAAACGTTTTATTTACTTGCCAGCAGTTGTACAGTGATCAGTTTTACAGTGGTTCACAGATCTCCCACAGCCCCTCTTCGTAGTAAAAGCTTTCCAGTTTTCAAAGCCTTGTGTTCTTAGTAAAATATATCAGCTTTTAAACATAATTTATAGGACATGTATGTATAACGTCATTTACAAGCAGTTTATTTTCAAGCTTTGACCACTGGCAGAAACCAGCACTACATAAACAAGACATGAGGAATCTTTCTGGAGTATCCTTCCATTTTTGGTGGTACTGCAATATTATAACTAAGAGGAAAGTGCAGAGGTTTGAGAACCAAATGCTAAGAGAGTAGAAAGGACAGATAGCTTTGACATTATAGCCTTTATATGACGACATTTCATCACAGGCTTTGATATTCGTTAACATACATCAAGCAGAAGTCACTGGAGAGTTATGGCATGTGTCCAAAATGTCAAAGCTCACGCTGGGAATGCATATCTTCACTTGAGAGAGACAAGTGACATCATACTTGCCATAATGCGGTAAGGCAAAGGAACTAAATTAGCAGCATTTCGTCTTATAATTCCTCAATCAACAAAACATTACTTTAACATTACCACCATATTAGTTTAATTCACTTTGTATTTGCTTGGCCAAAACAAAAGTCAGCGATGGGATAAATGTAAAGGGTAAATGAAGGAAAGGGGTTTAACGACTAAGCAGATTTTTTCTGCTCCATTTACAACCGTATGGAGGACAAAACAAAGAATCACATTTCATCTGTACAGCAATTAAATAAAACTAAAAAAATCATTATTTTCATGATCCTCCCACGCCCACATTAATAACTTCCTAGTCTTAAACACAGCAAAAATATATTACATTACATGACACTTTCCTGTAGTCATAATACAACTTCATGCACCGACTTCCTTCCTGTATCTCTTCAGTAACATTTCAATAGAAACGTTGGGTCAAAGAGATAAAACGCGTTAATGAAACCGTGTCATTCGGAGCGTGTTGTGCGAGTTCCAGTTATAACGCCACAGTGTGTTCTACAGTAACAACAACAAAAAATCTCTTCAAGTATCAGGGCTGAAGACTTTACAGCTGATCTCAGTTTACATTATTATTAATCTCTCGTTCATTCACACACATTTAGAGAGTCACGAGGGGGCATTCGATGCTCCTGTGATTTCAGATTCACCTCAGAATCGGGGGGGTTTGGGGCTGTACACAGAACGTAATGACAGAGTGATGGGAGACAGAGAGAGTGTCTGTTCCTCAGAGAGTTTGTTCGGGGGGAGAGTAACTTCTTTCTGGAGAGGCTTTAGGCAGATCTTTGGAAACTCCATCTTTGGGAAGTGGCCGCGTTTCTCTTCTGTCGCGGGAGGGAGAGAAAGTAGTCCTCTGGAAGGGTCTCGCTTTGATAACAGCCCTATGTTACCGCTCTGTGGCCGTCTCACTTCCTGTCTCTCTGGGTGTGGAATCACGTCGGCCTAACAGGGCATCAGGCAACGTCTAAAAACCAAGAGCAACAGAATGAAAACAGGGAATGGTACATTGTTTCAGTGCAGAACAATAGACTAACATATTTCATAAAGAGGACGGCTACTGACCCGGTCCCTGCTGGGCTGATATGTCCTCTGCTCCGCTCAGAGGCTTTAGGAGGCCGTTCTCCCTGAAGGCTATGACAGGAACTCTGCCCTCCTCTTCCTCCTCATGCTGCTGCTCCTCTCCCTCAGGAGGAGACAGCCTGGAATGTGAAGGCAGTACGATCACCTCCTCAAACTCCCCGTTCTCCCTGGATGAACAGAGGACAGAGAGGTTATTGATGTGACGGACAACAGGTGAGACTCAGTTACTCAGAAACTATTGCCTATACCAAACACATGTTTATATCCTCAATTTACATTGGCCTTTTAATTCCCCTTACCATTTAAATATGATTACATTTGAGATATTGGTCACAAAATGTATTCAAAGTCAGATTTCGCAACTGAAAGCTGGCAGAGTTGCAACAAATTTAAAATACATACAATTTCACTATTTAACTATTACTTTTTTATCTCAATAACCATAGTATTCTTAAAAGATGTATTGTTTACATGAACATTACAGTTTTATTCATCTATACAATATTATTATAGCATTATTTTCTTGTACAAAACAGATTGTTGTCACACTCCAGTAAATATGAACTGCGACCTGGGGTTTCCTGAAACATTTGCAGACATACCAATTCAAATGTTTTCAATTCATAACTCTACCTCTGGTCAGTATGGCTCAGTGCTGAGGTTTCAGGGTCTGGTTGACCACCGTTGCTATTGAGTGACGGTGAGGGGGTTACTGCAGATGGACTGGGAGTGGCAGGGGTCTCTGATGGTAAGAGGAAACACACACAGAAGTCAGAAACAGCTACATGGGGGACAGCTTCCCCTCTGCTACCGGCCTCATCAACAAGGCCCGGGACCCACACTGACACTGACTTTTGATCCACCCAAAAACATGATGCATCACATTAATCATGTGAACAATATCTTGTTGTTTTCTGTCTTTTTTTAATCCTGTGAGCCATGTTCATGCTCAACTCTCAGACTGCTTTTTGCACATCCTCCACTTTAAAATATAACACTGTAGTTTGCCATATATACTCATTGTCCTAAGTGTTTTTGTTTTTTAAGATTTTAAGGTTATTTGTATAGTTACATTTACATTTGGTGTAAATACTTGTTTCTTAAAAATACTTGTTTTTTGTATCCTTATATATTTCTTTATTTCTCACCTTCTTTAGAACTTATTTATTTAGATTGTTTATGTTCGCACCACCAGATACTAAAGCAAATCCCTTCCCTGTTGTACCAAATGGTGACACAGGGAAGTTATATTCCTGCAGAATTCAATATCTATTTTTATAAATGGTAAAATAATGTATGTAAATGACCAGGGTATTATTATTATTCTTCACCTACAATGGCTCTATATTCTATAACCTTGCCATATGTCTGATTGTATGAAGACACATTTGGTTACCTGCATTTTCTCCGTTTCTGTTGGGAACAACTTTCTAAAGAAGGGAAACAATACAGAGAAAGAATGAACACTCAGAAACAACATAGAATCTTCATATTATATATATATATATATATCTCTTTCAGGTTTACCTTGTCTGATGGGTCTGAACGTCTTGTTCTCTTCATGATCTCATCCAGACGCTGGTGAAGGCAAAAGAAGAGTCTTTACATGCACTGCACATGAGGAATAACATTCATTCTTAAATGTGTGTATGTGTGTGTGAAAGTGCATCACCTTTTTCCTTTCCAAGCGTTCAGCCTCTTCTTTCTGGAAGTGTTTCTCTCTCTCCTTCCTCAGCCGCTCTGCCTCCTCCCTCTGTCGCGACTCTTCCTCCTCTTTCTAACACACAGGACACACATCAAGCGTTTACACTTCCTGTGCGAGGGCAAGCCAAGTTGCGCCTCTAGTGAACACTCCCTCTCACCTGTTTCTGGAGTTTCTCCGCCTCCTCTTTCTCTTTCTGAAGTCTCTCTTCCTCGCCCTTTCTCTCCTCCTCCTCCTTTTGTTTCCTCGTCTCCTCTCCCTGACGCTGAGCCTCCTCCTCTCTCTTCACTCGCTCCTCTGCCTTACGGCGAGCCATCTCTTCCTGCGCTATCCTGTACAAAAAAGGGAAACGAATCAGTGGAGGATGCAGAGGCACACGCCTTGTTAGAGCCAGTATTTTGTTTCCATAAGAAAGGCCACCTAATCGTGACTTCTATCGTCAACCAGAGTATAAAAGACTACAATTCCCACGGCGCCTTCTCTAAGGTGACAGAGATGGGCAACCTGTTAGAAAGACGCCGTCGAGGAACAGTTTTTAACCGTTCAATTACCCTTTAAGTTATCAAGTTATAGAAGCCTTGACAAAGAAAGAAAGCAAGAAAGAATACCTAAGTTGTTTGTTATTTTATTTGAGTTTTGCCTGTTTGTAAAGGCCTCTTTTCTTTGTTGCATGTGTAAAAGTTTGTTATTTTATTTGGAGCAAACCCATTGCATAATATCATCCAAACCATCGGAGGCCAAGCAACTCATCAACTGTAAGTAACACAAATATAAAGGAAAGACAAACGAGTCAGAAAGGTCGGTTTAAGGCGTCTGGTGGCTTGATAGAAAAATAAGGAAGGAAGCCACGACACCACTCTTGGTCACAACAGTTTACCTCTGCTGCTCCTCCTGCTGCTTGCGCTCCTCCTCCTCTCTCTCCCTCTGCTCTCGGGCCAGTCTGCGATTCTCAGCCAGGATACGACTCGCCTCCTCTGGATCTGTCGTGCCTGCTGAGGTCTTGTGGGCTGGAGGGCTGCTTGCACTCTCTAAAAAAAAAGGCATCATAATTCAGATTTTGGCCATTGGCCATTGTATCTTATAAAACTCACTAATAAAAAGACACTCCATGACGCTGTGTGTAACTGACCTGGTGTCTGCTCGCTGCCGCTCCTGTTCTGACCCAGCGGCTGGGGGCGAGGCTGAGGAGGACTGAGGACCTGCTCTTCCTCCTCCTCCCCTGGGGCTCTGGTGGGTTGGGGACTCGCGTGTGGGACCCTGAAAGGACGAAGATTTCCAGGGTCTTCTGCCCCCGGAGACTTAAGCTGCTTTGGGGTGGGTGGGCGCCCTGGGGACTTTTGTGGAGGCCTGTGTGCAGGAAGCAGCAGTTGACAAAAAGTACTGACTAACACTACATACTGATATACGCCTGAACATCAGCAGGAGAGGACTCTTTAAAAGTAGAGACACTACATACTGATATACGCCTGAACATCAGCAGGAGAGGACTCTTTAAAGTAGATACACTACATACTGATATACACCTGAACATCAGCAGGAGAGGACTCTTTAAAGTAGAGACACTACATACTGATATACACCTGAACATCAGCAGGAGAGGACTCTTTAAAGTAGATACACTACATACTGATATACACCTGAACATCAGCAGGAGAGAGGACTCTTTAAAGTAGAGACACTACATACTGATATACACCTGAACATCAGCAGGAGAGGACTCTTTAAAGTAGAGACACTACATACTGATATACACCTGAACATCAGCAGGAGAGGACTCTTTAAAGTAGAGACACTACATACTGATATACACCTGAACATCAGCAGGAGAGGACTCTTTAAAGTAGATACACTACATACTGATATACACCTGAACATCAGCAGGAGAGGACTCTTTAAAGTAGAGACACTACATACTGATATACACCTGAACATCAGCAGGAGAGGACTCTTTAAAGTAGAGACACTACATACTGATATACACCTGAACATCAGCAGGAGAGGACTCTTTAAAGTAGAGACACTACATACTGATATACACCTGCTGAACATCAGCAGGAGAGGACTCTTTAAAGTAGAGACACATACTGATATACACCTGAACATCAGCAGGAGAGGACTCTTTAAAGTAGAGACACTCTATACTGATATACACCTGAACATCAGCAGGAGAGAGGACTCTTTAAAGTAGAGACACTCTATACTGATATACACCTGAACATCAGCAGGAGAGAGGACTCTTTAAAGTAGAGACACTACATACTGATATACACCTGAACATCAGCAGGAGAGGACTCTTTAAAGTAGAGACACTACATACTGATAAAGTAGAGAACACATGTGTTTCTACTAGTAATGAGTCACACCATTTTAACCTTTAAGCTATATTTTTGCACACAACCTTCAAAGTTGTTACACCATCCCCAGCCCACCCAACTCCCAATAATCCATTACTCACATTCCTCACAAATCTGCTTATATGGCTCTATTGATCAAGGATCATGGGTGAGTTCTCCTACCTGCCAGGAGGGGGCGCTGTTACTTTTCGGTTCCTTTTGCCTGGAGAAGAGGAGCGCTTGTTGGGGGGCAAAGTCAGAATGGGAGCCAATGGGAGAGACAGGTTGCTCCATGACTTCCTGACATTGTCCCGGTCCTTACGCTATTGGTGCAGAAGATATAGGGAAATAATTATATGAACAAATATTATTACTTTTTCAAGTGAGAAGCATGGCACAGAAAATAGTTCTTCAGAAAAATGTCCTTAGAAACGCAAAGTAATATGGTGGTGTCTTACTGACAGGAGCAAAAGATGATCAGTAACAGGATTAGACTCAAACAGCCTTCCACTGGCCATGTGTAACCTCTGGCATCAAGCCATGACACCAATGATTAAAACAATTTAACTATTGACACAACTAAAAATCACCTTCTCTCAATAAGCAGATAATATGCCCTGTGAGTTGAAACGTTTGAAGAGGAGGCACAACAAAAGACGAACAATAACAATGACTTACAGTTTATAGACATTGTGTCCCAAACACAAAGTGACTGGTGTATCATTGTTATGCTGTATAATTAATGTGCACATGTATGGTTGATGCATGTGTCTCTGGGTCTGTGTGGCATATAAAGTACAGAGGACGTCCTCCTTCTAAGACCTTAATGGTATAAGCTGTGACACAGCAGTAGACAGATGGACTGTGTGAACAGTGACACGTGTGTGTGCGTGCAGAGTCACACAGATACTCTGACGGACTGTGTCCGACTGATCTGGGGCATCATAGGTATAACAACGTATGAAAGATGTAGAGGAGCAAAATGCAGTGAATTATTTATGTGCATGAGAATAGTAAGACACCAAACCTTAACGGAACTAGAACGGCACTATGAGATCAGACCTCCGCCAAAGCAGATGGTGCATTCATGTGCTTGTCGGCTGGTTGCATTTCACGAAATAGAAGTGTTTTTCTTGATTTTGGTGTGGTTAAGCTTTAATGTTAAAACAACTAACAAAGAAGATGCTACACTCTGAAATCTGTTTATAAGTTGTTGTTCCAACTTAAGGATGGCGTTAAAGTACATGTTTCCAGTGCCACAAATGCACATCTGGCAATGTTAAACCTAATGTTAAATGAATTCAATTGTCATGAATAGCACATCATTTCTTGACTTATGGCCAATACTATGTATTGTAAGGTCACAGTAACCTTGACCTGCTACCACTAATCAAATCAGTTCCTTATGGAGTACAAGTGAATGTTTTCAAGAAATACCTGTTCCAGAAAATAGGACATGAATAGACAACCTGAATACATCATCGTGGCATTGGGGATCAATGCTGCTAAAAAGAGGAGGAATTGAGGGGTTTCTTCCCATTACATAAGCATACAAGCACCAGAATTTGTCACAGTTTATATACAATTTTGCAAATGTCTTGGGTCAAACACAGGTGCAGGTTGAGGACAGGACGCACCTGTGTGCTGCCGGCGGTCCTCCTGCGAGCAGTGGTGGGGGCAGAGGACCCCGTCCCCCGGCTGAGGCTCCTCTCCTGGCTGCGGCAGTGAGGCAGCGGCTGGGCCTGCAGGGCTTTGAAGGACATGGAGCCCATGGGGTGGCAGGACACTGAGCGAGGACAAACAGGTATGGCTACGGTGATGCACGAGGTGGGAGTTTGGAGTGTTTAAAGGAGGGTATGGAGCAGGGCAAGGCGGGGGGTCGGGGAGCGAGAGTTTGATTAACAGGAGCAAGGAGCGAGAGATTAGGGAGGAGAGGAAGGAATGAGAAGGATGTACGATGATTATTAAGGAAAAGCAGTGAGGTTGGGGGAGAAGAAGAGGATTGAGAGAAATATAAGTATGGTGAAAAAAGAGAAGAGAAAGAAGCCGTTAGTGCTACTGACTAGAAGCAAAACTATTAATGTAATGCAACCATCACTTGGGAACTGAATCTCAAATAGTTTAATATTATAATTTAATGAACGATTAAGTTGGCCTGATTGGATAGTAAAGAGATTTGATTCAAACCACAATTTCACATTCACTTTGTGCTATTTTAAATTATTAAAATGAGTGGTTTGTCAAACCAATCGGAAATTATAAATAGTCCCAGTGTTGGAAGCATTTTCACTTGAAAAGCCATTCAGTCATAATGAACTATTTATTATTGATGCATTAGACCCCACACAGAGGAAGGGAGCATGCAGAATAATACACACATCACAAGAGGTGCACCTCCACTAACTGTAGACAATGTTGAATGTTGTAAAAGTGTGTATGCAAGCGTTCAAAGTGTGATTTTTCAAAAAACACACAAGGAAAAACAGCAATGCACAACAATACAAAAAAAAGTCAGAAGAAGAAAAAACAATCATTCATGGCAATTTAAAAAAGGTAACTTAGAGAACCCGCCCCAAATGAAGGATAATTGTGCGTCATTTTGCGTGACCGTTCCTTCTTATGTCATAATTCCTTTTCATCAGGTGTTATTTGACCATAATAGAAAGCTAGACGTTAGCGTTTCCAGTCGCTCATGAGGATATTCACAACAGTCACTATATTTAGAATATGCCACTATCAACACATTGTGTTTTTTCATCACAATCCGCGATAAAAATCCAATATCTTTCCATCCCCGATCAAAACATTTACTTAAATGTACAGGCATATTATAGCACATGGCTTTACAAAAAGAAGTATTGCAAACACACACACACTGTCCAAAGCAATCGTATTGTGTGTGTGTGTTGATGACGTGTGTGTTTACGTGTGTTTGAGCGTTGAGTGCCTGATACAGCCTGGTGAGGGAGGTTTCAGACAGTGTAATTCTTTGAGTCTGGCTAGATCTGATTAACATCCCTAACTGTTCTGGTCAAGAGGGCAAAACATCAACAGCCTTAATACTTTGTGCATCGTGAGCAGTGATCCCCTGTTTTTCAATGGTTCACTCACTACTGCCTGTAAGAGCCGGGGGGGGGGTTACCTGTTTGATCTCCAGACAGACTCATGGCACTGCGGCTCCGAGCCAGGTAGGAGTGTGTGGGCTGCTGCAGGCGGTTGACGACGTTGCTCTCCCATGGCGTCAGGGGAAGATGGCGCATTCCTGAGTGTACACACACACACACACACACACTTATCACATTGAAGGTTTTCTAACAACTCAAACTATTTACCGCCCACTGATTAGCCGGAGCAGTCAGTCAAAGCAGATTATAAATAATGCGTTATTACTGTATTTGCTACTCATTCCTTCCCTCGCGCCACACTGCAGTGTAGGCGAGAGCTTAAGAGAAGTCGTAACAATGCACAGGCTGTTACACCTACACCTGCATGCGCCACTTTGTTCATGTGAAGGGAAGCAAACAACATGTGGAGCGCAAACCGAGAGCAAACACAGGGAGGAGAGCATTCAGGTAAACAGTGCAGATCAGGAAAAACACAGAAATCCATCATTCATTTAGCAAATAGTTAAAGAAGTGCCGAAAGCTTTAATGCAAGTACATTTCAATATTTAGCCATGCAGTCTTTAGTACCAGAGCAGGTACATCATTTGTAGCTTATTAAGCATAAGTCATACATCTTCATTTGAACTGATTTGACACTTAAAAAAGACAAAAGGACAGATTATCAGGCAAAACATGCAGCACTGCTCGCTCTGATAGTGGATAAGGTTGCAGGTGAGGGTCAAAGATACAACTGGGCTGGAAACTGTGCAAAGGAACCTAAGTCTCTAATCGAAACCACTTTGTATTCAAACAGTGGTTTCAGAGTCGGGTTACACTCAGTTCAAAAAATGTGTGCAGTTAGTTTTGGTACGTGATTACATTATATGTATATAATTATGTGCACGTCTGATTGTTGAAATGTGGGTGTTGATTTTTCAGCTGGGATCAAATCGGCGTTCATGTCAAGTGTTCCCACAAAAACAAAAAGATTATCCGACAGAGGATTAGAGAAAGGGGTCACGCCAGAGGGGGAGACACAAAATGTTGATCATTCTGATGAAACAGTGGAAGCACATGCACATAAGGTATATAGTAAATGCGTTTTGATCCTCTTATTTCATATATTACAGTAGTGTAGGACTTCCAAAAGCTTCCATGATGCAATTTAAAGAAAAAAAGCAATATTTTCCATTTTCTTCTGTGAGAGTAAGCAAACAACAACAACTTTCTGTTTGTTCCTCAACAGTTTCCAGCCCATAATCTTTTTGGTTGCAACAGTGTTACACTTATAATATAGGGGACCAAGCTGTTAAAAGTTCCCAGAAGACACCTGTGTTTTTGTGCTGAGCTGTCATTCCCTGGTGAAGGCGGGATTTGGACTGAGCTTTACTAATGACAGGAGACGAAGCTGTCCTCATCTGTAAGCCTGTCAGCAAACATATCAACATCAAAGAATACATGATGTAATGGTTACACAAGAACTTAACAGTTTATGTATATATATATATACACTCAAAGAACTGTTGACATTCTGAGAACTTTCTGTCTGACAGTTAGATGAGGAGATACCTCTCCCATAGCTGCCCTTTAAATATAAGGATACAGCTACTGTAGCAGCGTGTTAGCTTAGCATAAAGACTATAAAATAGAAAGTGTAAAAAAGCTGGCCTGGTTCTTCACAAAGGTATATAATAAGAGGTATATTATAAGCTTAACCGTCTTTGAAATGACTGATTACAACATAGTATCTTGTTTGTTTCATCCTTAAAGAAGCCTAAGTGTAAAAAAAGTAGCGGTTTTATGGGGTTTTATTTGCCAGTTCTTTTGTCTGGATGCAGTGACTTCCTAAAGTCTCTGCTGCCTGGCAACCTTATGACAACAACTTTTTTGTGCAGATAAACCAACAAGATATAACGTGTTAATTAATCTTTAAAGATTGCATTTCTTGTGTTTGCACAGAGCTAACTGTCTTTAGCAGTTTCCTAATTTCCAGTCTTTATGTCTAGTCATGCTAAGCTATCTGTAGCTTCATATTTACTGTACAGATTTTTTCATCTAGTAGTGTTTATCGCAAAATGCTGAACCAACTTTAATGTATTATTGTGTTAATTGTCTATATAATATCTCCCTAATCATCAGCAACAAAAATGTGCACTTAGACGGTCACAAGAGTTACATCACAGATGACACAAGACACAGCCAAAGTTAGTGGATAATGTATTGAATAATATTGAATAATACCTCGGTCTGGTGAGTGTAGGAGTGTGGCAGAGGAGTAGGAGAGGCGCTTGGTTATAACAGGGTCTGTGTGTTTGGATAAATTCATTGTGGACACTGACCGCCTGTCAGCATCTAGAAGAGGAAACATGATAAAAAGAAAATTACTGATGACTGAAGAGTTGGTCTTGAAGAAAGAGAGCGGGGGAAGAGAGCAGGAGCTGGAGCCAGCAATCCCACTTTGTCTCTACTCTAGTCTATTCTGGTTGAATAACGTTACGTGTGAAAAGACTACCAAAGTGTTCTAAATAGGAGAAAATGAATTGGTGCTAAATGGATCTCATGTCATCTATAAATGGAGCTAAAATGGTTTGAATGAATGATCCCGTGTCTTGGGACTAAGTTCAAGTGACAAACTGGATTGCTACATGCAAATAAAAACACCAAACACTAATCATGCCGTTTACATTGGTCTACATTGACACTAATGCCAGTGCTATAACGTCGCTGTAAGGTTACAGTGCTAGAGCCAGAGGTCTATCACTGACACAGTGATTTAATATTCACATTGAGAGGTCACTCCGTATCTGCGGTAGAGACTGAAAGCACTCTGCATGTGCTCCAGTCCGGCAAGGTCGAGTGGATAGAGGAAAGCCGACTCGACAAAACCTGGACCAGGAGGGGAAGGGACAATGGCGGAGAGACAAAGAGCGGAGAGAAGAGATGGAGGGAGATACGAGAGAGAAAGTGAGCCAGAGAGAGGTTGAGTTTGAGATTAAGGGGGAGAAAGAGAGGAAGAGAGAGAGAGAGAGAGAGGGAGGGGCAGAGCAGGGTGTGAGTCAGCAGTAACAACAGAGGGCAGGGGATCTGCAAAGTTCAAACATAAAAATGGCAGAACAATACTGACACGCAGAGGCAGGCAGACATATTTACACAAGAGACACTGGCGGACATCAGGGAGATGAGATTTTTAAAAAAGCACATTCATGGCGTGAGTTTCTGCAGGAAGTGTGTGTAGGTGCGTGATGTTTTCAAGTACCGGTTGGCGTGGTGGGATTGTTTGTGTGCATCGGCCCTCCCCAAGACCACCGGTTGGGCTTCTGTCTGGCTCTCTGGCTCCTCTCCAACGTCCGAAGCATCACCGCCTCGTGACGAATCTGCAGCCACGGCAACAATAATACATTATCAGTATGTTTAAGAAAGGTTAATGCCTTGACATACAAATACTGCTGCAAGATAAGATAAATAAATGATTTGCTCTGATTGGACACATGCGGTGTGTTATGGTTTGTCGAAGAATCTCAAGTACTTGGATAGAATCTAAACTGTAATTATGCAACAGGCTAAACATGAAAGCAGAACCAGTCTTAAACTGGTTCTGAGAATTTGTGCTAAACTTGCCTTACTCAGGAAGTGACAACATTTTATAGGCAGTTTACCTTCCTAAAGCATTCCCAGAATTAATGGTTAAAACTAGTTTGGGGGGGGGGGGCACTGCATGATGAAATACAACTTTAAAAAAACGAAATGCAAAGGTATATATCAAAACTTAATTTCCCAATGTAGAAATACTTAAATGTTTTGAATATTGTAAAAAAAAACGTTTTAAAAGTCCATTATGTCAATTTCTTGACTTAATTTAATGGCAGACAGTAGAGAGAGGTAGACATTGTGATAACACGGTGCAGTGCTAAGCAGTGCTGCGTCAGAATAGGTGTCCCACTTTTCATTAAATGAATAAACTAATTAGAGCCTGAACTCAATGTCAAGGGACTCACTAACCATCAAAACAAAATAACTGCAACTCTTTTAATAAGACGTTTTATGTGAGATATTGATTGCAATATTGAAACCTCTGACTTAGCACAACTTTATAAAAAAAAATTGACATTTAAAATTTAAAATATCATTAGACTCTACAGTTTCAAGATTATAACTTTCTTCTTAAACTTTGGCGCCATATTTTGAGGGTACTTTTTGACATAAAAAAATGCAGCAGTGAGACAGGTTTGTATGGCGAGGGCCTGAGCTTATCAACTTTAGCCATGCAGTTTCCACATGCTCTTCTTGCTTTACCTACAGCCACACATTTTATTTATATTATATAGAGACAAAACTTCCTGTCAGCAATCTATGGGTGGCATTGCAACAAACTACACCCACGTTTCCCAACAGTTTATGAAAGATATGGTGAGTAGTAATAAATTGACATGAATTAGGGAACATTAGGGTGAGTTTGCAGTTCAAACTCCAACTCACTAAAAAGGGAAGGGGCATAGAGTGTGTATATGGTTCACTAAAAACTGATATATTAGCCTGTGGAGGATGACGTTGAGTGTTGTGTTGCACTTGTGTGTCGGACCTTGTCTTCCTCCAGTTTCTGCCGCCGTTTCTCCTCCACGGCAGCCCGTCTCTTGTCCTCCTTCACCCTCTGCTCCTCCAGCCTCCTCTTCCTCTCCTCTAGCTGCTTCTCATAGTGCTGCCGGGCTCGTTCCTCACGCGCCTGCCACTGGGTCTCCTTGACGGCTGAGGCATAGTGCACACATATACACACAGTTAATATACTATGGTTTGCACGCTACATAAAACAAACTAAATTAAACATGTGTACAGACACACGCAGGCTTATAGCAGCAGTGAGATGGGTCAGCTGTGGATCATGTGACTAGGCTTTAGCTTTAAACACAAAGCAAATCCCTCTGCCCCTCAGCTGGGGCCGGAGGTATGACCGCTGTACAACAATACAAACACACTAAGTAAGAAATAAAAAAATACATACACAAGCACTGACTTCCCAAAACTAAAAATCTGTTGCGGTATGCTGCTCACACACTCGTACAAACACAGGCCTCTCTAAACCCTGTCCCATGGCCTGACCCATTATGTAACATTGGTGCCATGGCAACGGGGGGTGCCTGGCTTCAGCCTAGACTTTATGTAACGGCCAGAGAAACAGGCAATTCACCACAGCTACCAGACGAGTTCAGTAGAGATATGTTGCAGGAAAAACAAAAAAAGAAAGAGATGCATTTACAGCCTCATGCACACTAATGCAGTCCACACACACACAGTTATAGAATACACACCGTTCTGTTTCTCACACTCATCCCGGCGCTCACGGGCTAACCTCTGTCTTTCGTCGATCTTGTTGAAGAGCAATGAGTCTGCAACAAAAGCACGTTTTAAACATTATATTTAACTACTGTACTAGCGACATCATTCGTGTAATACGTCTCATTCTGCCAGTGCTATTTACCTGGTCTGTTGGCAGCATTGTTACTGGGGCTGTTGCTGGTGGTGGTGTGAGTCTGTGTAGGGGTGGTGTTGGGGGTGGGGGTCAGGGTGGGACTGTAGGTGCGCCCCGAGCCCGAGGAGCTGGGGCGGGTGGCGGACGTAGACCTTCTGCCATCCTCCGATATATACTGGGAGTCAGACGCTGGAAAGAAAGATAAAAGTGTCAAAATGTGGAGAGAAATAGACACTAAGGAGAAACAATAGACAGATAGAACAAAGAAAACTGTAGATATGTGTAACTTTAGATTTGTTTTTACAATTGAGCATCTATTCAGCAGGAGCTCCATAGTCCAACCTGGCTAAGTAAAATAAAGAATAGGTAGAGTGTGTGCCAAGAGTCTTGAACGCATCATAAATCCACTTCCAGTAGAAACCCTGAGGGGCTACAGTTTCCCCACTTGGTAACTATACACCCACAAAGTGTAGCCAGCCTCTGTACTAACACAGTGCCACGTAGGGCAATACAACAGAACCACACCATCAAAGTCAATACTGTTCTCCAGTCAAGTATTTAACAACATGGTAGGAATACCAAAAAACACGCCTAATAGTTTATACCTGTAGTAAACTTTAATGCATCATTATTTAATATGAATATGGTATTTATTGAATACTATTCACCTCTGAAAACTCATGTCTTCGTTTTTGCTTGCCACTGAATTTTAGAAATATGGTTATATTTGGTTATTACAGTAAGGGCAAATTTGTTTGATAAAAGCCGGCCTTGTTGCCACAATGACGCCAAAAGGATACTGAATAATACAGAGTTTGGTCATTTACATGTTATCAACTTTACAAATAACATGCAATATCACATTAAGGTACACATTTTAAAAAGGTTGTCATATGTTATAAGAGGTTACGATACAGGCTTGTGTGAATTAGACCGGTGAGATTCCAGTAGTAACGCCTTCTAATGGGTCATTGATCATGCACATAGTGGTGTAAGGTCTGAACTTAGGATAGCTATGTGAAAACAAGCTACAAGGAGAAAAACAGTAGAGCTCTAGTTTTGTATATATTTACAGTTTCTGCTGTATAGCCTGACAGGAAACTAATTGAGGTAAAACAACGTATACTGCGCTCTCCGTGTTCTCAAACGTCCCCTGTGTGTTGCAGTGTTTCCTCTCAGCTCCGAGCTGGGCCATTGATTCATGGTACTATCGGGCTCGGGGTGACTCAGCACTTTCAGGTCAGCCTCCTGAACACAGACACCGAGCCTAACATCGGGGCCTCGGGCACAAACAGATGAGCCTGTCCCAAATGTTCCCAAACGACACACGCACACCACTTTGTGATAACAACGTTGGCTTAATTAGTCAAGGATCAAGAGGCAAACAGTATTACGGTGGCAACTGATTAACTGGAATAATTATGCACTGTGTATGCATAGGTGCTGAGGCAGAGCAAAATAACTGTTCAAACACCTCCTTTGTGTTCAAGCGTGGGGAAGAGATTCTCCACAGAGGCTAGTCTGTCCCAGAAAGTTTGAAAAGCAAGTTAAATCAGGATCCAGACTAAAACAAGCTCCTACTCACAGACCCTACCTAAGACTACACACACACACACACTATCTGACATTTCCCTCTCCCGCTCGTCTCCTCGTGGTTTCTTTATCGCCTCACTTCAGTGACGTGTTAGCTCAGTGGGGTAATGCCGGTGGTGAAAAGGAACAAAGTACAAGTTACATAGTCGCTGCTACGCTAAGATGAACAAGTGCACTTCAACTGCTTACCTCTTTTGTTTTGCCTTATTCAGTACCCTTGATGTAGGATCAGAATAGTCCATGTAGTATGTTTGCTACAAAGAGTGGCAACTAGGATGCTAAAGGGCAGAAAGGCAAACCGGACTGAGAACCACATCCCTGAGCCACTGGTGTTATAAGTTATACTATCTTTTCCAATGCCAGAAACCTCTTTTTTTCTTTAGCAATAGATGACAGCTTTGGATACACCATACATTTGTAGTATTCTTCAGAGAAAGATCCAACAGATTTACCCAGATACACTTACTAAAACCACTAAAACCACAATCATTTAACTTATTTCTTCATTTGTAATGTAGCAGATGATGTTATAAGTCTAGTGTGCAAACGCTGTCTCCACCCTAACTCATTGAGACATTTTGTGTTACTTCACAATGGACATGCAGGACAAAGGCGTGAGGTCATAGGTATTACATTTCGCAGGCTATGGGACATCAACAGAGGTGTGTACACAAGTATCAGCAGGTGTACCCTGCCTCTGGTAACCCTGCAGAGGATCTGGCTTTATAAAAGCTTTTGTTGTGACAGGAAGGGCTGGGCCAGGTTACAATAATGTCTGCTCAATGTCTTCCTTCCCCTAAGGTTATTTTCCTCTAGAAAAAATGATAAACTCACCCAGAGGTGAGAATAATGTGGTCAGACAAATACAACACATTTGTGAACGGCTTTTAGGCAAATAGGTCATGTGACTATACAATTGCATCACATGGACACATTCTGGTTTACTGTAAGGCGCTGTATTTCATTGTTGGAAGTTAACGTCTAGTGGCTGATGGAGTGGACCTTCTGACAAGCTGAGTGGGGAACGTCACAATAAGCCGGCGGTGACAGGCTAAGAGCAGAACCACTTTCCTATGTGACTGGAGCTCTTCACTGAAAAGAGCTGGGAGCACTCTGAAGCACGCAAACAGGAAACAATAACCTTCTGACAGGAAGAAAGAAGCAAACAAGAGAGGCTGACATAATGGAAGATAATTAGCAATTAATAACACATCAAACTATTATTGGAATAGTAACATGAATCTTGTATTGCTATGACTCATGATTGATCAATATAATCTTATTCCTACAGAAAAAAGGATGTATAATATATACTTGTGGATTCTCAACAGCAGGAAGGAGTTACATGATACATATAAAATATACAAATGACTGACAAAGAGGATTAACAATGAAAACAGATGGCCATTACTGTCTCGTAATCATCTTTAATCTACCCGATAGTATTTTTTGTTTTATTATTGTTATTTGTATGAATCTTTAAACGTATTAGTATAATTTGTATTGTGTGTTTATATACCTACAGCCAGTCCATGTTTCCTGTACTGTAGCGAGTAAGACAGTATAAACTAGAAAGCAACTCAACTAGTTTCATCCTGCATATCAAGAGGTTGCAGACGAGGCCGTGTGCACATCAGGGCAGCGTAAGGTTTGGTATAATTTGACCCTAAGGAGTCAGTGTTATGAATTATTTGTACAGGCAAAATTGTTTATTTATGACCACTTGACTGCTGCCGTGCAAAGTGGGTCACACTGGACTTATTAAAAACGTTTAGTTCATTATTTTCTAATACACATGCAATGGTTTAACTGTGTAATGTGGTGGACTTGTTTCTAGTGCAGGGCTGTTTCCTCTCACTGCATCACATCCATCTGTCAACACACCAAAGACCAACTTTATATGTAGCATCGTGCTAGCTCCCAGTACATCTACAAAAACCCCACCCACCTTTGGCTTGTTCCAAATGTTATCGAAACACTAAGTGTGAAAATAATGGAGGTACTGCACGTTGTTCTAATGCCAGAAGGAGAGTTTGGAGTGGATGTCCTTTGTAATATTTTGGGATTTGTTTTAACACACTATATTTCAAAAGAGCCAATACATTTTCAAGTAATTTCAAAACCACTTCAGGCCCTTGAAGACTGTTCATCTCACTTGAAGTGGATGTAGAAATTCAACTCAAATCAGTTTTTCAACCTCAACGAAATGTGCAGAGGCAAAATGAAACTAACCTGTTACCAACAGCCTGCAATGTACTTGTTTTCTTTCCCTACCCTACACCTTGTTGAACCGGTGCCAATTTATCAGTGAAATATGCAACAGTCCTGGAATCAAATCTCAAGTCTTTACCTGGAGTCTGGAGCATGATTCCAGGGGTGTCACTGCCAGGACGGGACCTGTTGAACACCTTGCTAGCGTCCCACTCCGACTAGTCAGACTGGAGGGCCAGAATCAACGTTTCTACTTCCTGCTAACATCCTACACGGCGGCAGATAAGCTAAGATCCAAAGTCCATGACGTAGGAGGGAGACGAAGGGAAAAGCAAAACATGAAGAAATTCTGAAAAACCGCACCCCTTACTTCAGAGTAAAGGGGAAAGCAGGACAGGAAAGAGAGAGAGGGGTCAGCTTCGGTCGGTGTCAATGTTTTTGAGAGCCGACCGACTATGGGACAGGTTGTGGTGACTGTCCAACCCCCATCCTTTTATTCATGTGTGTGTGTAACAGAGAGTGAGACATAGGGAGAGTGTGACTGTTTAATCTGCCCCTCCCTCCCTTATTGCTGGAGCGTGTTCCCCACCCCCAATCCTCAATCAGATTAAATGGTCAGAGTTAGCGATTAATGCTGTGCCGTCCGGGCCAGCGGGTAGCAGGCGAGCATGCTGTGTGGCTCCTGCAACCTGAGAGGATTAGCCCACTGCTAATGCTAAGCTAAACAGTAAGCTCCAGCCAGCAGAGAGGCAAAGGGGGCAGGAGTCCTCCTCTCTAGCCCCAGGACAGGCAGTCAGGCCGGGATAAGGAGGAGGGTACAGCTGCATTTGGGAGCCTGTACAAGTTTCAGCTCAGGTAATGTATGTCTGTCGTCAACATATAACTCTTTAACATTTTTGACAAAAGTACAAGGGCAATAAATAATAAAAACAGCTGTTGTCTATTTTTGAAATGTTGCCATCTCTATCACAAATGCTCTTAAATAAATAGTAATACTACCAATCATAGAAACTTTGTTTAGCAACGTGTCATCGATATATGTATAGAAATGACATGCAAATTGATATTAGAAGACAAATTCCCCAAATAAAGATTGCTAAAGAAAAGCTTTCCTTAACCAATGTCAAAAACAGCATCTCATCTCGGTCACAGTTGATTCAAACAACTATTTACTTAATGTATCTACCCTGAAGACCAAGACATGCTTTTAAACTTCCAAGCACATCTATAAACTTTTTAAAGTGGAGATGGGTAATTAATACAGTCTACATTTAAATGTATCCTGAATAGTGCTAAGCTATTGCATATATATGTACCTTCAACATGAAGGTTGGGTTCTAAGGGGAGTGGGCTCACTAGTTTTAAAATAAAGGTTACTATGGAGCAAGTGAGCAGTTACATGATAGGTTGTGATCATCCTCGCTGCAAGAGCTCACAATTGTCTCTTCATCCTCTCTCTCTTGGTCTATTCCATTATGTATAGGTAAAGTGAGTCGTACATGTTCGCCCCATGAGGAAACTGCAAACCTTTAGTATGAGAATGTCTTACACTAAAAGGAAATGCAGTTAATTAAAAAATAACTTGTTTCCTTGTTCTTTTTACATCATATAGTTCTACTTTTTTACAGGATGTCATGTTAGACATGTAAGACTGTATAACTGAAGTTAGGGGAATACAAGTGTAAATTATAAAAACTACATAATTGTGTTATACAAATTCCTCTTTCCCCTGTATGATTGGATATGAAATATATATAACTGGTGATAATTCAAACAGTTGCTCGTTGCACTCTCATCTGCTGACCTTGGGTTGAGCCCATCTTGCCTTGTCAGCGTGTTTCCACACACACACTGCTTTCTCATCAGCCACCTGTTTCCAGATGGCTGAGCTGAAGGGACACACACACACACACACACACACACACACACACACACACACACACACACACACACACACACACACACACACACACACACACACACACACACACACACACACACACACACACACACACACACACACACACACACACACACACACACACACACACACACACACACACACACACACACACACACACACCACACACACACACACACACACACCACACACCACACACACACACACACACACACCACACACACACACACACACACACACACACACACACACACACACACACACACACACACACACACCACACACACACACACACACACACACACACACACACACACACACACACACCACGCACACACACGACTCTCTAGAGCTTAGTCACACTTCTTTCTGCCCCTTCTTTCTGCCCTCTCTGTCCCAGATTGAAGATCTAAAGTTTAAATGATGCTCAAACAGCATGAAGTACCAGAGCATGCAATCCCGCTGTGCTCTCCCTCCATCCTCTCCCTCCATCCTCTCCCTCCATACCTCTTTTCTTCCTCTTGCGAGCATCTCTCCGTCTCAGCCCTTCCTCTTCCTCAGTGATGGTGAAGAGTGCCGGATGGCCCGAGCGGCTGCCTCCCTTCCTCAGCTTCCACTGGCCCGCGAGCCCCCACCTCCACCTTGTCTTTTACTCTCTGGCATGGCCTGCCCTGTTGCTATCCCTCGGTCCCCTGGCTAACTCGCCCAGCCCCTGCCCATCCCACCCTGCAGTGGTGGGTGGGGACGGCGGGGGGGCAGGTAAGTGGTGGACGCCAGAGGGTGGTGGGGTCACCCCTAAAAGCCCTCTCCTCAGCGAAGACAGCTATGAGGTAATGCTTGAAGCCAATTCCTCTCGCTGCATATTGCTGCTCTGTCTCTTAGACAGCAGGAAGAAGAGAGCAACGAGGAAGAGAAGATGTAGGAAATGAAAGTGTAGAGAAAAAGGAGACGGTAAGAAAAGAAACAAGTACAGAGAGATGAAGTGTGAAAGAGACACACAGAGCTGCCCACTGTGCCCTGCTGACGATGGCAGTGCCAGGCGGAGCAACGGAGTGAGACACAGAGTGAGACACAGAGTGCGACAGTCTGGAGGATGAGCTCTCGTAGTCTGGCTTAGAAAATAAGATTTAATCCAAAAAACTGGCCGGGGGAAGAAAGCTGGAAAGATTGCACTCCTCAAGAGATGCTGCTGTCACCACTCTTACTGCAGCCCCCCCTCTCCTCTCCCCTCCTCGCTGGGCCTGTTCTGTAAACTTGTCAAAAGGATCACATCACACAGGCACTGGCTGTACAGTAAACTCACACACACTGCCCCACACATACACTAGTTAGTAGGAGGGCAGCAGGGACGTTCAAATATTTAGTGAAAATCCAGCAGTGCAAGGTGAGCCGGTACCGGTAAAAGGGTTTCCCTGACAACAGCAGCAACAGGCTGATGATGAGAGGAAGCAAGAGACACAGACAGACAGACAGACAGACAGACACACACACACACACACACACACACACACACACACACACAAAAGCAGGGCAGCACGCCTGTGCACACACCAAAGCAAATATGCAGTGCTGGATCTGCCTGTGTGGAAGGGGTGTGTCCTAAGAGCACATGGTATATGTCCCTGCCCCGTTCTCCACTTAAAGAGGCATACCGGGGGAAGTGCAGCAAATATGGAACATCTCTTTATTCATGTCCTGCGGGCTCTTTACAGGACACAGAACTTCAGTGTTCAGATCCATAGTTATTCCTGAGCAGTATGAACAGATAATAAAATGTGCTTCACTATCATTTCATACACTGACACACTGCAAACACACCGAATATGAGAAAGGGTGAGGAATAAATTAGATAAGATGTGAAGAGCATTGCATGCAAGGTGACATGCAAAATAAAAAGGGCAATGAAGTTATTGAAGGCTACATTTTTGGAAGTTTGTCCAATGACAGTGCAGCAGCCTGCATGATAGATATCACGTATACTATAGCAAATGCAGAGATGAACAACCAGCATGACAGCTTTAAATGGTTAAAAGGTGCATTCAACAACAGGGACCTGCACAATACATCACGGTATCGTCCGCATCAAAATGTAAGGTTGCTCCATCGACATTTTCACCTAAACTATTGATAAAGATGGAGAATAATAGCGGACCTAAAACAGAACCATTAGTAATGTTTAACCACTCTGAAGTGAGCCCATCAAACTGAACACATTGGGACCTTTCAGAGAGGCAGTTCACAAACCACCCCACTGCATGGCTGGATATGCCAATACTGACTAGCCTCTGCTTCAGGATATGATGATCGACGGTATTGAACACTTTGGACAGGTCAACAAATAGAGCTGCACAACTCTGCTTATTATCTCAAATACTCGCCACATCATTCACCACTTTCATTGTGGCAGTGATGGTGCTGTGTTGCTTTCTGAAGCCTGACTGATGTTTATACAGGATGTCATTTGTACATAAAAACACCTTTACCTGTTCACTCACTAGGCGTTCAAGAACCTTGGCCAGAACTGACAATTTAGAGATGGGCCTATAATTATATAATAAAGTGGCCTCCCCTCCTTTTAGTAAAGGCAGGACATACACTGACTTCCATATTTTTGGAATTGTATTTGTGCTGAGGGAGAGGTTAAAAAGAGTAGTGAGAGGTGGAAAAATAAAATCTGCAGCTATCTTTAAAAAGAAAGGTTCTACGTTTACATCAACAGTAAAAGGAGTAAAACTGAAAGGGTTTTACAAACCACATTGTTCAAAGTCACTGACTGTGGTGTTCACAGAAGCAGAGTTAGTGACAGAATCAAACTGAGAGCCACAGGACACAAAATGCTCATTAAAACAATTTAACATGGTGGCCCTGTCCGATATAGTGCCAGATGCTGTGGTAAGGCACGGAGGTAGCTCATTACGGATTGCACCGGTGGATATCGATTTTATGGCTTTCCAACATGTTCTCGGATTATTCAGGTTTTTTGTGGTAACTGACAGATAATACTTATACTTAGCACTTTTTATTTGTGACGTGAAGCTATTTCTTAGCTGCCAAAAACGTAGCCATTCTACCTCTGAGCCTGATTTCCTAGCCTTTGCGCAGGCCTTGTTTCTCTCATGAAGGAGACTAGATAATTCAGCAGAAAACCAAGGATTGTCTCGTCCCTTCACTCTAAATCAGTGTTTCTCAAACTTTTTCATACCAAGGACCACTTAACTAATAAAAAAACACTCGCGGACCACCTAACTCCACAAATATCCCAAAACACATAGTTTTTTACAAATCGCCTGAAAATTGTACAAACAAGTGGCAACATGTTTGATGAAGGTGCTTATCTGGGCTATATCATGCAATCAAAAGTGAAACTTAAACTCGTTCCATTGCGGAGATATTCCCGCGAGAGTGCGAAAAACTTAAATACATGTTTTTATTTCAAATGTGAAATTGTATCAATATACTCACGGACCACTAGGGGGCGCTCACGGACCACCAGTGGTCCGCGGACCACACTTTGAGAAGCACTACTCTAAATGTACGCAGGGGTCAGAGCCGGCCCGACCCATTAAGTGACATAAGCGGCCGCTTAGGGCCCCGCAGCCACTAAGGGGCCCCCTAGCAAAAAATATATATATATATATATATATATATATCAGTACACCGTCGCCGTGATAAGTGTTTAATTAATTGTGTTAATATGCCTAGATTGCCTACACTCAAAGTCATGTATTATATTATTGAGTCAATAATATAATACATTAACCGTGCTTTACCTGAACCTCATCATGACACAAGAGAGGACGGCAGGATTGTAATTTCCCGTGTTCAGTGAATGCAACAGAGGCAAGACACCAGACGAACCAGAGAGTTGAATGGAAATAAACATCCGTCTTATTGGCTGACAGGTACATATCCTGTGAGCTGTGACAATGTTTAAAATAAACTGTAAGTCGGACTCAGAGTTTTTGAAGATGGACATAAGAAAAAAACGTCTTAAAAAAGACGACAATTCTCAAGTGGTGGCTCACACAACAACCCCAGAGCCACCACTTGAGCCAGGTAAACAAGGTATGTAAATGTCAGTAAACTTCCAAGTTATGCGAACATGTAAGCAAAGCATAAATTACACCTAAGTTGACGTTACTTTGAATCGCGGGGGTAAGCTAAACCGTTAGCAAGTAGCTATAGCTAGCCAGATATGTTAAATAAACACTTTGTCATACAATCTAAATGTAATGTTTTTTGGCATTACCTGGTGATTTCAAAGAAAGCTCTCTGGGAAATGTTGACTTACTGTTCGACATGAAGCTAGAAGCTACCTTACACAGTACACAGTTGATCCGGAGTCCTGTCAGTTAAAGTGTTTCATAGTTAGCTTAGCTAAGCATCAACCGAGCACTGAAATATATGGATGTTATGTGACAGTATTTCTGAGAAAAAGTCAGCTGAAATGGTGACATAGTTGCCATTGCTTTACATGTCAACAGCATGTTTGAACGTATTTGCAGCAGTAAATGTGGCTGTTTGGCCACTGACGTTGCCATAACAACACCTGAATTTAAATGTGCAACCTCTTTTTGTGACACATTTTTGCAAGAAATTATAATTCTTCTGAATGATATTCCTATTGACAGCTAGTTTCTATGTGAACATTATGAGATGGACAGCCAGAGAGAATAAATAAAAAACAGTTATGAAATACTATATGACAAAACAAGAATACAGTTTAAGTGATTTGTAAAATATCCATCAAGACAAATCTGTTTACAGTTCTGTTTCATATGGGTGTTGAGAGATGTATCCATAGATCTCTTAATGCTGCTCTCAAAGTGCACCAGATTGATGCTTTTAACTTCAATATTTTAAAAAAAAATCTTCCCGGGGGAACATGCCCCCGGACCCCCCTAGAGGAGGTTAGGTCCAGAGATGGAGTCGTTACTAAATATAATATATTACATATTACTTTGAGTAATATATTACACTACTTCGTTACTCTCTACATAAAGTAACTCGTTACTTTACTCGTTACTTTACTCGCAGGGCCGGCCCGGCCCGCCCCTCCCTACAGGCAGATCACTGAGATCAATGAGATACAAAGGTTTTTAAATCCTCTGATACTGTAGTTAACCAGTCCCAATTAAAATCACCAAGTAGCACTATTTCCTTGTAGTCAAGTTGAGATAAAAAAATTGCCAACGAAGACAAGGAGTCCTTGACAGCTGAGGGGGGTCTGTAACAGCCCACCACCATGACCTGTTGACCCTTTGCTACTTCGATATTTAAGGCTAAAAATTCTAGTTGTTTACCTTTATATATACAATCTATGTTGTTTACTGATAGATTTGGAAACCATCTTGGTTATACAAAACTTATTTTTCACATAAATGGCAAAGCCTCCACCTTTATAGGTCGGTCGGTACAATATACACTGTAACCATTTAAGGATATGTCAGAGGCCAATATAGATTTATTTAGCCACGTTTCTGATAAGACAATGATAAAACAGCATCAGTCGAGCTCGCCCAAATGCGGACAAAATCTAGTTTAGGTAAAAGACTGCGCACATTTAGGTGAATGAATCCCAGCCCAGACCTAGAATTAAAATCAGCAGGAGTAGCGATCTAACTACTACTAATACTGTGCGGTCCAATTATTAGATGGTGCAGATACAAAAATGGCAGATTGGAGAAAACAGCTGATAATCCCGTAGGAAGGTGAACATAATAGAGCCAGCTTCACTGGTTAGATCAAAGGTATGGGGGTGCAGTGTATTGTGTATCTTTACAACTCACAGCAGCATGGGAATATCAGATAAATAATGCATGTAGTAGGAAGTTATTTATGCATACTAAAATGGCAACAGGATTTGAAAGCTTGAAAGTATGCTGTTACAGAAAATGGATGCCGAAACTTTGCAGAAGAGTCAATATGAGACCAATTTCAGTAGGCATTCATGGGGAAACTGAAACAATTCATGATGAAGGTAAGGCTGGACAGAGGAAAACAAATGGACTAAGGAGTACAAAACAACCATGGATTTCACTTTGGGTCGTGTTTGTTAGAGTTGTTTGTAGTGAAAAGTTGTAATCTCTTAAATGGTTGGACAGAATGCTGATTTACACAGCTGATTAAAGAGAACTTTTATGCTATTATTTTGACTAATTAAATATTTGTTTTCATTCAAACTCCTCAAAAAGTGGGATACTTTAGTATTTTTGGGGTGTTGTGGGCCTTTAAAACTCTCTGCTACAACAGCATCACTGCGCTTTGAAGCCAATTATTCCCAAAGGTTTGTACCATGCCACCACGTCTTTAACTGGCTCAAATATGTTGAGTTTCCTTTTTTATAATTTGTAATTTGCATTTATGAATTCTACAGTTAAACTGTGGAATACATCAATCAGATGTCAGATTTAAACTTTAAAATAAAATTAGGCTTTTTCCATCTTCAGCAAAAATAAAAGATAGTCTAATGGCTGAGAATTTATAGTAAAATATGTGAGCGTATTTAAGAAAGAAATATAGATTACTATAAAACTTTGTAACATTTATCTTTCTTCTCACATAAATAGTTTTAGAAAGTAATTCCAATAATGCATTACATAAGAAACAACATCCTAAAATCCCAACAAGTGATGTGACAGCTACTTTTTTAGCAAACAAAAGCCACCTGTTGTTTTACGACTAATGAAGGTCTGGCCATGTGTGAAACATGCAAATTAATAACCTGACACACACACTCCTAAACACACCACCATATTATTTGGCTTTCAGTTTTAAATAAAACATGTATAATGCATTGGGATTCAACAGTAGCAAATAACATACAGGTGGTTCTATGAGTGAAGCTGACAGGTCATTTTCTGTCCTAGCGTTTAAAAAGCAAAAGACAACATTGGCTAAATGCAATAGCTTGGGTCATAGGTGTCCTGTTAACTGGCATTGTAGAAACGTTTGAGGTATGTACAAGCCAAGCCGAACTGTCAAAATAAAAACCTGAAACACCAGAACACAAAGTTGTAGCCCGAAGACAAATTTAGCAACTTCTGCAAGGACACCCTGAGCCCGTTTCCATGAATTCACCTGTCACGTCAACTGAAGGAGCATTTCGACGTAGTAGACAAAATGTCAGCAACAGGTGCCTACCAGCGCAAGGAGCTTAATATATCTTTAAAACAACAAACAACAAATGTCAATATATGTGTAGTTGAGAAAACAGGTCGTGTTTAATCGTTAATAAACGTAAAACAACCGGTTGGGTGAGTTAATCCCACTCCCGTGACCCGGTGCTTCTGTCTCTCCGCGTTCATAACACCGACACGAAAACTAACCGAAGCCCCTCGGTTGAGCAACACGTTTAATATCAGCTCGTCCTTTTAAAAAAGTTATTTGAAGTTAACTTTTCGGTCTGTATGAACTCACCTTGGGACTCGGGAGGAGATGCGTCGCTGCCATCCTGGTCCGCCATTTCTCCTGACGTCAGCTGACAGGGATCAGGAACCCGAGGGACCTGCTGACAGGCCGGGACCCTCCCACGGACAGGTGGGGGACGACACAGCAGGATAAAACCTCATCGACAGGTAAAACAAACTCATAATATTATGTTTTAATCACAAACTTGCTGTACGGTAAACTTTTACTGTTACTTTGTCTCAGTCATGCACACACATATTAACTTAATTCAGGTCCTTAAATGCACCTTGTAAGCCAATATTCACCTGTTATCGTGCAGTATCTTAGTTGTCTTGCTTAACTCTTGCCTAGAAGAAATTGGTTATTTTACGTGTGAGTAATTTCATTTTTCTGCTTGTAAACACACTTAAGAGGGGACAAGGTGTACAAGTGAAAGTATAAGGTCTAAGACCGGTCTGTTAGATGCTGACATCTACTGGCAATGGTGGTGTATCAGTATGTCATTTCAAATGTGGCTTTTGACCTATAGTTTGGTATCAATGCAAGTTTGGCAAAGAGTCATACTTAGTCAGCTTTTCGTTTGTGTGGTGGCGGTGGCGAAGTCGATAAGGACTTGGCTTGGCAACTGGAAGGTCACCAGTTCAAGTCCCGGCAAGACCAAGTGCTACCGAGGTGTCCCTGAGCAAGGCACCGTTCCCTACACTGCTCCCCGGGCGCCGTTCAAAATGGCAGCACACTGCTCCTAACACTAGGATGGGTCAAATGCAGAGAAACAATTTCCCCACAGGGATTAATAAAGTATATCAAATCATCTCTCTTAAAATAAGCACATTTCTATGCATATGGTCCTGTCCCTTGAGCAACAAAGCAAACATGTGAGAGAAGGAGTTGTCAATCAAACACTATCTAATCAGGCAGTATAAAGGACACCTGTGTGGCCTGGCTATGGGTGTGTACATGATTTAATTAACACGTTATCTCGTCTTAATTCCTTCCTACTACTAAAGATAAAACTGCTCTATGTTACAGCTTTATCCTGACAAATAAAAAATGCACTGCTGTAGTGACCTATCTAAAGAAAAACAGTCTCTGTTAGGCCTATAGCTTTGCATTTTACTGATTGATTAAGTATTATTTAGCTTCACGAGTGAGAGGTTTTTAAACCCAAAAAGCAACACAACACAAGATTTAAATCAGCTAATTTTGAGATGCATGATTTTTACTGGATAATGATCACAGAATTGTTTTTTGTCAAAGCCAGTGGTTTTGAATTTGAAAACCATTCAATGTGTGACTTTTCTCCCATATGACCAGCAGAGGGAGCCCTCTTCTTACATTAATAATGTTTGACTCGTCAAAACTCCACTAAATCCCTTTAAAGGGATTCAATACGTTTCTCATTAGGTTTTATTGATACATCACTAAGATATTAAAATCACAAGATTCATCTTATTACAGAGCTATTAAAACTGAAGTATTGTTTTGTGCATGAACATGATTAGCTTTGATGTATCTTCGATGTAACACAACAGATTTCATCAGTTAACTAAAATATGATGTTTGCCAAAAATGTCAATGAAAAACATAATGCAAGAATACAAATGGCCGTTTCACCTCACAGTTACCCTTTTACAAAGAAGCATTTCAATTAGGGGAAATGAGACATGAGACAAAAATCACCAGTCCTCTGTTATTTTAACTAACCCGGAGATATTTGAGCAAGGATTTGCTGTTCCTGGCTGGATGTTTGCTAATCTCTGCTCATATCTCTGCTATTTGCCAGACTGTGCAGGCTTACCCCCCCTCTGGACCCCCAGTGAAATGGCTACGGATTGGTGGGAGGAAAACTGAAACCATGGCAACCAGCTGTTTGGCAATTCCTCTGATGGAGGAAGGGGAGGGAGAAGACATTGGCCTGGAAGGTAAAAACTCAGACACACGCACTGACTGACAGACAGAAAGACAAACACACGTCTGGGCATATCTGTGGGGGTCAGAGATAGATAGAATGAGAATCATATTTAACCCGAGCCCTTTATTTTCTGACTTATTTTTATATCCAAATGCCCTCAAGCTACCCCCTGCTACTCTTCTTTGATGATTAGTGTCTGTGTTTTTTTGTTTTTTTGGAGCCTGTGTGAGAATCAGACGTTGGTCGTGGGGTACAGGGTTCAGTCAGTAGGTGGTGGTTAAGCCTGGAGTGGCGTTCAGGGTCCCATGGGCACAATAAAAGCCTCCCCAAACTGTCTGTAATTGGTTCCCACAGGACAGGGATCTTGAGATTGAAAATCAATCCACACAATGAAAATAAAATAAACACACTGAGTCTCTGCATGGAATATGAGTACTTACTTGCTGATCTGAAGTGAGGAGAGACACAGGAAGAACTTGTCTTTGCGTGACCTAAATGTGCTTCCAGGATTGGAAGTGAATGGATGTTTCCACTTTGGGATGCTGAACCTCTGGTTGATTAATGCTCAGGGCTCTTCTTACCAGGGTGGCAGTGATGGTGCTGAGGAATAAGCAGATTGAAGAACTGATTGGTTTTGAGGACTTGCGGCCGCTTTGCTCTTCTCCGATTTATTTTGATTAATTTGCGTTGGTTATGCGTGCGCTTGCATAAAACCCACAGTTCCAGCCTGTGGACATCAGAGTGGAGATCAGATAAGTTTCTAGATTAAGCAGGCTGGTTTAACAAGCAGTATCTTCAATACAGTGACACACTGCATCTTTTTGTATCTAGAGGGATTTGGGATAATGCCCAGGAAACACTCTCTACACAACATTATATATCCATTCATTAAATAAGGGATAATCAAAGTTGAACTCTCGGGGAAAGAAATAAGACATAATGCTTCTTAATGATTCTGTATGAATGGTTTGAAAAGATTTGATTAACTGTCTCAGGTATCACAAGCATTACACCAAATAAAAAATTTCTGAATACTGATTGGTGGGTCACGACTTTTAGCAAGCCCTGCCCAATTAGAACTAAGGTGCTAAAATAACCACATTTTTCCCATCTTTATTCAAGTTGGACCACATCAGAAGGAAGCTTGTTGGGAATATATTTCTTTAGAGTCTAAAAAACGGTCTACTTTAAACGGCTTTAAATTAAAGGGGGGTTATAAGAAATAGTCAAAACCATTATTGTTATAATGTTATAAACCTTATTGGAAAAACCTGTTATGTAAAAGTGAGAATGCGACATATATTATTTTCTGTATGTAAAACAGACAGTACTACATCCTTTAATCATGATTTACCTGTCGTTGCAATATTTCCGACAGCAATTAAAGGCAGCATGGCACCTTAATATGAGGTGCTGAACAAGTGTAGGACATCTAAGAGATAATGAGGTAAATAATGCATAAGCTGCAAAAGATTCATTTAAAACCAGCTTGCAGAGACATGCTGCTGTGTTGATGATAGTAACACATCGGCACCGACAAAACATCTCATCAATAGAAAACAACAGATGTTGGTTTAGTGGTGAAATCACTTTAGCAATGCAAATAAAAAATTAGGTGCACATTTTCACGTCTCCCATTTTGTTTTTCTTGCATCTGATGCAAAATGAGAATGTGCTTGATTTTTTTGTATTCATTCAGTCTTGTAAATGTTACATGATAGTGAAATCACACATACTCTGGCAATTATGAATGGAGCACATTGCAATGAAGGTTTATCATCGACTAACCCACATACTCAGTGAGTAAACAGAGAAAAAAGCAGACAACTTTATATGGTTATGACCTTGAATGCACCACTGAGTAGTCTGCCTCTGTCTTATCCTCATTTTACCTTTTAAACAGCAGACAGACAGGACCATCTCTCCATAGCAACCCATCAATTATTTCATCGTCATTCATGTGGGACATGTTACAGTTTATTTTTCACATTTCAAATCAAATAAAACAAGTATTTCGCTCCCTTAACATTTGTGATTAAATAATTATTTATGTTTAGATCAAATAAGACCATGTCTGTGTTGCTTTGCTAGCATAGAAGCCTCTTTAATTATCTCTGTCTCTTCATAATTTACAAGAAACAGATGGCATAATTGAGAATGATCTGAACTCACCCCCTGCAGATAGACAGAACCCCCACCAGGACTCCCCCATGTTGCCCTGCCTTGAGTACACACACACACACACACACACACACACACACACACACACACACACACACACACACACACACACACACACACACACACACACACACACACACACACACACACACACACACACACACACACACACACACACACACACACACAGTTGTATCTAGGTATGAGACCCTTTTACAGCAGACCGATCTCATTCCTCAGGATATGCTCAAAAAAAGGGCCAATCACAAGAGAGGAACAAAAACTAAAATCAGGCAGTTCATAGACAAACAGGCCAGCAGACATATGACCCGTGTGTGACCCGAGTAAATAGTGCTATTAATTCTAAATCCCTGCCATTAATCCCTCCGGTGGTTATATTGGTGTTGTCTACACTGCTGTCTCAATAACATCAGTGTTTACTGACATCCAGGCATTTATTGTGTTGGGAAGACTTAGTGCGCTGCTGATCTGCAAAGCTTTACAGACTCAAGATAGGCTCTTCATGCGTCCCTGCTGAATATTGTCTACCAACTGTATTTAACTAGGGATATTTACTCAAATGTTGTACTTAAGTTCAATTTTTGAGGTGCTTGTTCTGTAGAATGATGATGCGTTGCAAGTTGCAAAGGTCAATGAGTGTGTTCAAATCTTACCTAAAATGTTTTATGGCGAGGAACTTAGAAAAATGCAGCTGATTTAGGAGCGGTTGCCATGGCGTTTATAATAATGGCTGGCCAGCTTCTACTGAGTAGAATAAAAAAAGGGCCAAACCACTGCGTTGAGAACTTCTGGTATGAAAATCGGTATTTAAAACTGTATATAAGGTAGGAAAAACTCGCTCAACCACAACAAAATATAGCAGTCAAATTCTGAATATGCAATGAATTTGGAATGTTATACTTTGAATTAAAGTAACGAGGGCAATTTCTTTGCGCAGAACAAATGCTTATACTAGACATTACGAGTTTACATATTTCTACATACAGTTGATCCTACTTCTGTTCCTTTACATAATCAGGATGTTAACCAACAATGTACTTCTTCCACTACACACTATTGTTACGGTGTGTGTAGGAAGCAGGACCCAAATGCAGATTAAGGGACAAAAATAGTTCCTTTATTTCAAGGCTATATATACGTACAGACAGAACACTCACCGAAGACCACGTCAATACACAAGACAACCTGACAAAGAGAGACAGAAAACCCAGGACTAATCACATAAACACGAGACAGGTGAGGAGGGAGGAGAAAACACAGAGGCACCAGGTGAACACAATCGGGTAATCAGGGAGGGAAACAGACAAAAAGCAACAGGCAGGAAACGGGGGTGAACACTTTACAAAATAACACAGCAAACCAAAGATAGAAAAAAAAAAGACAAAAACAACAACACAGACAGATCCTAACAGTACCCCCCCCCTCAAGGGACGGATCCCAGACGTCCCAAAAAAAAAAAAATCCAAAACCTCAAGCAGGGTGGATGGAGGGGGTCCGGAGGAGGGACGCATCACTAAGCCACCAGGGTGGGTGGAGGGGGTCAGGAGGACGGGACTGAACTGACCGCCCAGGGGCACGGCAGAGGACCAGGAAGGGGTCTCGGGCGAACGGCCCGGGGGCAAGGCAGAGGACCAGGAAGGGGTCTCGGGCGGACGGCCCGGGGGCAAGGCAGAGTCCAAAAAGGGGAATTCGGGCGGACGGCCCGGGGGCAAGGCAGAGGACCAGGAAGGGGTCTCGGGCGGACGACCCGGGGGCAAGACAGAGTCCAAGGTGGGGACCATGGAGGGGCGAAGGCAGCGGCAGGAAGAGTCAGGGGGCCGGGCCCGAGGGCGAAGGCAACGGCAGGAAGAGTCAGGGGACCGGGCCCGAGGGCGAGGACCGCGGCACTCAGGGGGCCGGGCTCGAGGGCGAAGACCGCGGCTCTCAGGGGGCCGGGCTCGAGGGTGAAGACCGCGGCTCTCAGGGGGCCAGGCTTGAGGGCGAAGACCGTGGCTCTCAGGGGGCCAGGCTCGAGGGCGAAGACCGGACAGCTCCGGAGGCCGGGCAGGAGCCGGTGTCGACCGGACAGGATCCGGAGCCGGTGGGACAGGTGTCGGCAAGATTCCCCACGGAAGAGGACCAGGAGTTGGCAGGACCCTCGGCAGGAGGGCAGTCGGCGGGACCCCCAACGGGACAGGACACAGGATTGGCAGGACCCCCGGCAGGAGCGCAGTCGGCGGGACCTCCAACAGGACAGGACACAGGATTGGCAGGACCCCTGGCAGAAGCGCAGTCGGCGGGACCCCCAACGGGACAGGACATAGGGTTGGCAGGACCCCCGGCAGGAGCGCAGTCGGTGGGACCTCCAACGGGACAGGACATAGGGTTGGCAGGACCCCCGGCAGGAGGGCAGTCGGCGGGACCCCCAACTGGACAGGACATGGGGTTGGCAGGACCCCCGGCAGAAGAGCAGTCTGCGGGACCTCCAACGGGACAAGGCATAGAGTTGGCAGGACCCCCCGGCAGAAGAGCAGTCTGCGGACCTCCAACGGCACAGGACATGGGGTTGGCAGGACCCCCCGGCAGAAGAGCAGTCTGCGGGACCTCCAACGGCACAGGACAAAGGGTTGGCAGGACCCCCGGCAGGAGAGTGGTCGTCGGGACCTCCAACGAGACAGGACATGGGGTTGGCAGGACCCCCGATAGAAGAGTAGTCGGGCGGGCCTCCAACGGCACAGGACACAGGGTTGGCAGGACCCCCGGCAGGAGAGTAGTCAGCGGGGCCTCCAACGGCACAGGACATAGGATTGGCAGGACCCCCGGCAGGAG